CCGTCGGACAATTGACTCTCCGAGCGCGCAATTCACCTATGATTTACATCCGTGCGGATTTATTTCTAAATAAGTTAAGTGGAGAAGAGGGGAATCCTTAAGAATGGGGACCGATTTCGATTCAATATCTTTGGATCTTTTATGAGCAGCGGTCAATGTTGACCGAATTTAGAAGAATTTAGTGTGTAATTTCCGCAAGGGCTACTTTTTCGCCCTAAATTAATTTGCATAAATACCTCTGCACAATGCACGAGAGAAGATGCACAAAGAGCTGCATGAATCGAGGAAATATTGCTTTTTTGTGTGCGAAGAGAATTGATATGGAAATATTACTTTCTGTAACGGATATTATAATATTTACTCCCTTATATGGTAATTTATTTTGTACAATTCAGATGGGAAATTGGTTCTGGCCCATCCCATTTATTAATAATACACACAACGTAACGAATTTCGTTAACATTCACTTCCTTCCTGGACATTTTGCAGAATATTATAAGTGGCGCGATTTCATGCTTTCAAATTGATGAATAATTCAATAAATATATTTACAAAAAATGTATAGAATTTTAGATAAAAATTCATCAAAACAATTAATTATTTTTCAGATAGGTACCGTAAGAGGGCTGAAGAAGGGATGTAAACATTAAAAAAAACGGTATAGGCAACCAACTGCCAAAATTGCATAGACAGATGCGTTTCTCTTCCAGTTAAACAGATTCGAATCGATTCTTTTACACAATTCTTTTCTGCAATTCCCTTCAATTCGTATAATTTTAGTGTTTTTAATGAGAGACATGAGAATCGAAGAAATAAAAAAAATGCGCATATGTTGTTCGTGGAAGTACGAAAGCAATGCAATTAAAAACGAATGAAAGCAAGAGTGGATTGTAATTTGGCAGGTGAAGCAGAATCGCCTCGCCGGAAATTCCTGGCCGATTTCCGGAGTTCGGCATTCCGCCATCTAAAAAAAAGCGATAGTAGACAGACGATGGAACAAGTCTGTTTGAGTCAGAATTTCAAATTATACTGTTAATTAACTATACACAACTTGAGTCCTTTTAAAATGTAAATTAAAATTGTTTTGTTAATTTTATTGCTTCAATTTAAAGTTTGTGATTTCATTATGTAAATAGGATAAACAGAGTTGATGTCGAGTATATGAATTGGTAATTGTAACAATGGAGGATATAAAAGAGGACTTTAAAGAGCGTGTTTAAAAAGTTATTTTCGTGTTGTCGTTCGTGAATGCTGCGGTGGGAATGATTAATGCGTGCGTGTGAGGTTTCTGTTTCGGATTCGAAGTCGCGTTGCGTGCGTTCGAACAACAGGTTGTGCTGGATTGTTGTTTGTTGTTGTTTAGGTATGTTTTTCTGGTGCTGCTGTTGTTGTTTGTGTCGCGCCCTTTTGGCCTGTATTCGAAGGAAAGTGTAGGTTAAGTGTAAGGCAGAAGGAGACCCTCGGAAAGAAAAAAAAAGGTTAGAAATCCCCCGCGACCCATTCATACCCATCAGCGAAGATACGACGCGCCGCGTTCTCTTTCTCTCTCTTTCACTCCGAACTCATTCACAAGTCTGAGGAGGAAGGATCTTTCCTCCTCGGGGCGTCGTCGCCGTCTCCTTTCCACCTTATTCCACCCTCGCATTCTCTCGCTTCCTTTCTTCGCGTTTATACACACTCACTCTTTCGTTCCGACGCGGAAATAAACCGGAGGGATAGAAAGAGAAAATAGGTTGAGTTTTGAACAAGAGGAAAAAGCGAGATGAGAGAGAAGAACTCTCCTATAAAGTTCAAGTATGTCATATAATATATAGATATAAGAAGGGCTCCGATTCCGGGATATCCTCTCACTTAGCCGTCGACGCCGCAACTTCTGCACCTCTCCCGCTCGACTTGGGATAGGTCCTGGTTCCAAATCCTTCTTCCATCCTTTCACCATTTGAGTTACTGTTTGTTTACCCCTTTTTAACCACTTAACACTACAACCTCCTACTTACAAAGTATTACGTAACAGCGACAACTTTCTTTTTTATCAACAATTTAATACTTAACAAGTAATCTATGTTAATTATTAAGTTGTTGATAAAAATTGAAAGATGAATGAGATAAACATTACACTGTTTACATTCTATGTTGGGAATATGATATTCAGTAGTAGTATACTGTACGAATTGATACAAAGTTATTGAGCAAAATAAAATTATTATTGTATTTATTTTTAGTTAATATAATGTCTAAAACATTTTTAAACTTTTATTTTTATCAACAATTAATATAAAATTTTAAATGATTTTAACAGATTGTAATTCAATATTTTTTTATCATTGATTAATTGAATAAAACAATGTTATATTAAAAATATTTATTATAGTGCTTATTTTAGATTAGATTAGACCTCAATGGATTTTTAATTTTCTATTGAATGAAAGTATTGATGAATTCTTGTATATTTTTCTTTAATTCCATTAACTATACTTCTATTTCTTCTAATCTAGTGGATGATATGACAGGTATGTCAAGAAACTTAACCTAAAATAATTACATAACATAAACTAAACTGAAGTAACTTTAACTTAATGTAACATAAAATCCAATAAACATATTATATATAATTTAATATAAAAACGGTCTTATCAAAATAACATCAATTAACGTCTTAACACCGAAAGATGAAAATTCGTGAAGTACCTTTTCTACATCAGTAATGGTCGGATGTAGCATATTTAGTTAATTTCTATCTTAAATATGCATATGCTGCCAACTGTTAGTGTAACAAGTAAAAGTTACCAGTATGCATATCGTTAATGCAAGTTTTGTATGACACAAATTACATTTTAATTAATTAATTCTGGTGTAATTGAAAGATATTAAGGTTGTTTGTATAATTCTATAAGTTCTTATATATTATATATTTTGTTATATTTGTAAGTGACTAAAGTAGGTTGAAACTCACAGGGAGAATCCAGCTAAATTACTTTAAGTTGTTATATCATTATGTATATTGTGTGTTAAGTATGTAGGATTTCTGTAGGGCAAAGTCTTAATGAATTGTTTCCTACTTTTGTGCGAATGAGACACTTACTCCAGAAAGGATGGAATTCTCGTAAAGTTTTATTGTGAAAGGTCTGGGGCGTAAATAAATACAAAACTCTCGCTTTCTCGTCGGGTCGACGGATGCGGCGTCGGTTGCTGCTGCAGTGGGAGTTCAAAAATACGACGCCGCCTATCGCAACATCTGACGACTTCGCGGATTATTTTCCGTACCACCATTCCCTACATCCGCGAAAAAAATACCCCATCTTTCGGATAATATAAACAATAACAACAATATGAGGAGAATATTCGGGCCTCACGCGACGACCTCTCTTCACTATCCGTCGCCGCAGAAGAGGTGGAGTTGTTTATGTGCGCGCTTGCTCTATTATTTCTCTCTCTTTCCAGCACACAATCTATGTGTACATAAACACATATATGTGTATATGTATATAGAGAAAATGAGAAGCGAACGTTCAGTACACCAAAGCGCTCTCGAGTTTCGCGGTTAACCTTGACCTCGGCCACAGATCCGTGGCCCCATTCTTTTGCTCTCGCTTTCTCCCTCCTTTACTCGTCCACTCTCACTCTTTCTGTTCCACTCTCGCGGGCGGCCGGATTCCACCACAAAAACAACACTCACTTTCAACGAAAACCATTCATACGTGAAGAATTCTTAATTTTCGTTACAGAATCTCGATCACCGAATTCTATGCGCAATTCTCTCTTTATGTTTAAAAAAAAATTGCAAGAAAAAAAACACAATTATCCAATAAGAATTTAATTTATATACACAAAGTGTGGATGATAAATCAAATTTATTTAAATATACGTATATGTATTGTAAATTCAAATAATCTTCACTGAAAAATTTAAAACATAATTATCTTTCGTAGATTTGCGCAAACTGCTTGCAATTAATTTATTTATAGACTACTTTTTCTTTGCTTGCTTCATAAATAAAATAATGTAATTAATTTATTTTAATATTAATCCACATGTCTATAGTGTTTTCATACCTTCAATCTATAATTTCTTTATTTCATAATTTAGGTTATATTTGTCTTTCCATATTTATTTTGACATTAAATCCTTTTTAATTTAATCTAGTTTATTCTACAAATACACTTATTTAAAATGAATATGTTTAGGGAAATTATTTCACTATTTACCTATCTTCTCAAGAAAATTTAATTAATTAATTAAGTCAGAAATGTAATTTGCTTAATAATTATTTGACAAATTGTGAAATTTTAATGACAATGACAGATAACCTATAAGAAAAAAATACATCACATTATCGAAATTGTTATATAATGTCATTGAAAAAGTGATGGAGACGCAAGATATCACCGGAGCTGGCAATATAAATCATACAATAAAAACGTAACTTTTTCATCCACTTATGAACGCTCAGTGTAAGCGCGAGATTAATATTTTTATTATTCTAATTACGGACGTGTATCGCATCGGTAATCGGCTTAGGACTGCGTTTTCACTAGGGGGAGGAATGTTGTGTTTTCTTTTTTTTTGCCTCGGTGTGTGTTTTGTTCGTTGTTACTTCTGTTGCTTTCGCTGAGGGGATTCCCCCGTCGAGGCGGCTGCGGCGTTGACAAATGACGCATCTGTGGGAATTATCATTGATAAGCGGGCGCTGAGTCCTGCGGCACGCGACGACCCGACCCTTTTTCCCTTTTCCGCCCACGTCTGCACCGCTGACCTACACCAAACCAGAAAAAAAGAAGAGAAGAACGCACCCAAAAAAAAATTAACCCTGAATCAAACGTGTTCAGATAGAGTCACCACAACGTGCATCGAATCAATCAACCCCATCTATATCAATTAGCAGTTGGTAATTTGTAAACGTAAGTTTTATTATAATTACAATATTTGAATACAATATATAATAATTTAAGCATTTATAACAATTAATAAATAATATTAATATTATTATATAAAAAAGCGGATATAATTGGAATAATTTCAGTTATCATTCGCGCGGAAGTAACGCCAACTTTTGACAGACGATCTCGAATTCCTTGTTATCCTTGCCATTATCGTCATCTTCATGTTCATCCACCAAATTCTGGAATCGTTCCCTATAGTCCTCGCAACTGCTCTCGTCCTCCTCGTAACTCGAAGTGACGTCCACCCTGATCACCTGTATACTCTGAGGACTCTGTGGTTTGGAAAGCGCAAATCTAACTCCTTTGGATTTCCGCTTCTTCTGCGGCCTTTCCTTCTCCATTGCCTCCTCTACCTCGTGGAAATCGGCAGCGGCAAGTATGAGTTGCGCAACATCGTAGTCGATCTCCTCCTCAGTCTCATCATTCACATCTTGCAGCTCTGAGGGGCTTTTATCATTATTATTAATCTCAAGCAAAGGTTCCTCTGAATCCTCAAACACTTCTGGTACCGCCGGTTTCGATTTATGTTTGAATTTCGCGCGCTTCTGCGCCCACCTCGCCAGCGAAGTGCCAGTGTTCAACGCAGGCACTCCCCTAGGAAATTCAATCTTCGTTACCGATAAATTAGGTTTATCAACATTCCTACGGTAAGGCTTCTCAAATCGAAATGAATAACTGAAAATTAAATAAGAATAATAATAATAATAAACTAGCTTTTATAACTATTGACATTTTAAACGTCAAAATATATTATTAATTAAATTATAGTTAAGTTTTTCAAATACTTATTTAAGTAATTTTTTTTAAGTTAAAGATAAACTTTTGACATATATGAATATCCCATCAGTTGACGTACTGTCAAAATCAATATCATTAATTACAAACTTATTTCGATTACAATAATTATGATTGTGACAATGAGTTTATTGTTGTTGTGTTCACCTGTTGCAGTATTTACTGGTGGTGTAGGTGGAATACTCGTCCAGTTCACAGTTGCGTTTGGCGATCTGCTGCTGCTGATGATGATGGCAATGTCGGCGTTCCTCGAGCTCGATTTTGGTCCCTTTCATGTCTGCGAATGTGCGAAGGTCACCGGCTCGTCCGTTCCTATTCCGCTCTCTTCTCGTTCTTAACCTCCTCCTCCTCCTCCTCCTTCGCCTCGTTTCTGGCCCGTATGCAAAGGCTCCACAAATTTCAGATTCCGCGAACGCGGCTCTGACTAGGCTGCATTCCGAGGAATCATCATAGTTCCGAAAATTTCTATTTCATTTCCTCGAAGACGAAAAATAAAACGACTACTGCAAACAAAGGAAATAAGCAGACAACAGAAGGACGGCAATTATTTGAAGGTAAAATTAATTAATGTTTCTAATTCTGAAGGAAGATCTCACCTTTTTCGAATGTGCGCTAAATGAATCTCGGTGTGTAAACGATGCGCTCGCATTTCGCGGCGCTTGGAAACTGGTGCGCGTTTCGCCGCCTCCGCAACTACGCGATGCTCCGGCCGCCCCCCGTTTCACCTCTTTCTCCTCCTCTTCATCGCCCTTCAATCGTGCCGCACGCGAAATGCCCTCATATTTCATATACACGGCGATTTTTATCCGACCCTAAACGATCCCAATTAGAGCGTAATTACATCAATCTCGTTCATTTGGTTGCCTATACATATGCAATCAAATTACCTATATATCTTACATAACACATTACCCATTTCATCATACTACTAAATACAAGTATTTCTTAACAAAAGAAGTAAGGAGATAAGATACATGCATATTATGTTTTTTTAATTTTTTTATATAAAAAATCCATAAGAGAATCTATGTTTCTTACTGATTCTCCAATAAGTATTAATAGGTTTGTTTTGTAAGTATTTTTATTAATCTTAAAATAAAAATGATACAATCATTTTTATTAATGGAAGAAGAATGTAAAAGCAACGTTAATACAAAAATATTATTTTTGGTGGATGCGCCAGGCTATTTTTTTTATCTTGTAAATGAAATGACAGGATATCATTTATATTACGACAAATTACTCTAAAATATGTTTACGAAATGATACTTTTGTTGTTTTTACTATTTTATTTAATTATTACAGTAATGCATCACGCAATTAAAAGTTTATTTATAAAATTGTTTACTAATTCTTTTCTATGCTTAAATTAATTATGTATTTATTTAACTTTTGAATATAGAAAATGTAACTAATTTATGAAATTATTGTTTCTGAAATATATTCTGATGAATGCGCCGGGTAAATAAACGCACTTTATATTCAAAGAGTAAATTCAAATTTCTCAAAAATATAACAAAATAATATAAATTTGATCTTTTACTTGATATTATACAAGATTTTAGTTTAAAGTTAGTTTGATCACCATGTATATACTGCATTGCAGGCAGAAAACAAATAAATCGGTGGCGGCGAAAACGTGTAGGAGAAAAAGAGAAAAAAAATATAAGAAAAAAATTGAGCGAAAGGCGAACGAACATATGAAAAACGGCAAGAATCGCGTGCGCCCGAGGATATGTGTGTGTGTTTGTATATGTGTGCGCGCAGCGCCGATTTGCAGTTGATTTCCTGCGAGCTTTCAGGTGTCTATCAAGTTTCAGCACGAAACAAGGCTACACTTATCGCAAAAAAACTTTACATTAATTTCCTGCCACGAAATACATAAATATGATACGACTGGATCGTAACTAGATTCGGTGTAAAGAGGTCAATGTTAATTTTAGTTACTTAATTTAGAATATAAAATGTGAGAAGCATATACAGTATGAAGTTGTCAAAAGTTAATTACGTTTTAAATTTATTCATGATTGTGGTTTATTTAATTAAACATGTAATTTATTACTTAATTACAATATGTATTATTTGTTTAAATGATGTACAGTAGAACCTCGCTCAACGAGCATAATTCGTTCCAGAATTTTAGGATTTTTACTCGTATAGTGAAATAATCGTTAAGTGAAACATTTTTCCCATATAAACTAATGTAAAATATGATAATACGTTCCACACCGGAAAAAATGTTGTTCGTTCGTTAAGTATGTATTTGTATAACAAAAATAATTAAATTTGTTTCCTTGGCAACTCGTAATATATGGTGTTTATTCATTATAAATCTAGTGAGTACCTAAAATTGATGGCAAAAACAAAACAGTAACCATTTCCGTTATAATAAATATATTCTGTAATGAAGATATTGTCGATGTAACGGAACAAAAGCTTAATTCGGGCCGTTTAAAGGCGAACATTAAACTAATTTGGATGGGTTTTGTTTTTGTTGTTTTTTTCTTCTTCTTCTTGGGGTGCACGAAACCGGAAGTCGTCGGATATTTAAACGCTCGCAAAACGAAAGCCCAATTAATGCACGTTCATACATTCGGGAAATGAAGGGAATTGCGTGTCCCATAAATCCGACGGTGAAAACGCCACGAAATTAATCCCGTCCTATATAAGCAAAAATTACTACTTTTCTCTTTTTTTTCTTCTTTCTTCTTCAACGAAACGCGAAAACCACGAGATTTATGAGCCATCGGCAATGTTACATGTGCATGCGAAAAGAATGAAAAGAAAAACGTACAGTGCGTGTAAATTATAGTCATCGACTTCTCAACTATTTTATTTATCGCTACTCCTACAAGTCGAAACGTTTCTTAACGTATACAAACAAATATTTGCAGAACTGTCGTTAAATAAATCAAATTTAATGATACAAATTCATATAAAAATATACAACTTATTTTTATTATATTTTTTTTTATATAGAAAAAAAAAATACTATTTAGAATACAATAAAATGAAGCATTTTGTGGTACCATTTGGAAACTTCTCATCCACAACCTTTTGATAAACACTAATATTTTTGATACTATCTTGTTAGACATAATGATTGCTCAATTGATTTTGTTTTGTCGCTGATTTATTTCAGTAACTTGTTTCGGCCTACTTTCATTTTTGTTTCGGTCTTATTTTGGTTTTGTTTCTATATCATTTCGACCTTGTTTTACTTTAGTTTCGGACTTAACTTAGCTAATTTTTGATTATTTTCGCCTTGTTATAATTATATAATTATGTTTATATAATGTTCTTGTTGTGGTATTGTGGCCGATTTGATTTCCAATTTAAGTATCGAAGACACTTAACCGACGACGTTCATTGTTCGGTTTTGTATTTTCGTTTAGTTGTTGCGGCAACAATGCGTAACAGCCGCCAATCGACACGCGGTTCATTACTCAAATGGCCAATAAATAAAAACACACCGGCGTTCATACATCATGCACGTTGTTATGGTAACCAATGGCAACCGACGCCGCCGCCACCGCCTTCTAATTATTTCGGGTATTTATTTCATATATTAAAGCGAGATTTATGATACGCCAACGTCAAGAAACCTAATAACTATATAAATATAAACTTTTTTTATACTAAAAATTTCTGAAACATACTCCTTCTTAATGGTTGTATTTCAATTATAAAATATAGTCTAAATTGACCAAATAATAATAAGAAACAAAATATATTGTAAAACAATATACCTAGGGTTATTGACTTATTAACTCTTACTGAAATATATTCATAAAATTTGATATATTTATGTTTATTATGAACTACATTACATTTCAAAACTCTGTAAATATAAATAACACAAAATTATCATGAAAAAATATATTTTACGGCAATGAAAAACTAAATTGAAATTAAGAATAATTTGAACATTTTTATTTCAGGTTTTTAAAAATTTATTCTTGTGCTATAAATTTTGTAACAGTTCTTTATACAAAGTCTTGTTTTACACTCCGGAGACCAAATTATTTTCGATTATTTTCAAATGGAAGTCTACTTTCAATAGATGGAATATTATCTGGTGAATGCCTTTCCATGCAGCTAAACGATCAGTGGTTTCCATACTATGTCTACAAGAGTTACTTGTTTTTCGTGGATGCCTATGGAGTGAGTGAAACGTCAAATATCTTACGTCAATTACAAACTTTAACTCTTTAAGGAGCAATTTATTTTATAAAGTATGCATACACTGTGTGACAATATCACGTATTATTCTAAATTGCTTCAAGAATTATTAAAAAAAATGCAAATGTATTAGCGCTTAAATTTGGAATAGACGTATGATATTTGAGGTTATACTCAGTCAAAATCATTGTGTTAAAATAGTCATTAACTTCTAGGTATAATAATGAAAAAATAATCGGTAATATTTATTTTAAAATTACGATATGTCAAATTAATGAGATGTCTGTTGTTGAATACACTTCACTAATTTGTCTAATCGCACTTCAATTGCGTCACATAATGCCATTCGCATCCAATAGGCTATTTGTAGTCGATTACATTGTTTTGTAATAGAATAAATCCTTTGTCAATTTAAGAAGACTGTCATGGTCGATTGATGATAAAATGGTATTATCATAAGGATGTCGAATCCACAATTTTCTGTTCTCAAGTTCATTATTTGGAAAATATTTGACAAATCTTTGAATTAAATAATTTGTATGTTCTTTATCAAGTTCAAAATTATCTGTAATCATTTCAGAATAATTTGGAAACATTTCGAAAACATTCGATTCTATTCTTCAAATTCATTTATGAAGATTCATTAATTGATTGATCACTTCTATTTTATTTCGCATGGAAATCAAGTTGTGTTGATTTCTTTGCAGAGATACATTTTGTTGGTTTAGAATGGAGAATATGTCAAGAAACAAAGTTTTGCAATCCAATTTTTGTCGTTGAAATAAATGGCCAAATTTTATTTTTTATCAAGAATCTCTGCTATAGGTTACTGGAATATCGAAATGCGAACTTTTAATTAGTTTATGATTAATGTTGAAATTCTATTGGCGGACTTAAGAAAGGTGAAATGGAAAAAGGAAAGGAGGAAATTTGTTAATTACTCCTAATTAAATAATGAGCAGACCAGAAAAGGGGTTTCTATATTTAACATACATTTAAAGGTGTATCGTCAAAGCGAAAAAGAGCGCTTCGTGAAATTTTCATTTCTCTTCGCAAACGGAATTGCGGATTCATGAGTGCCTAATTGTCGCCGTCCTTCTTCTTTTCGCCGCTCGAAACAGCCGCCCCCATTGTTCGAAGCTGCGTGGGTGCGGGGAGCGAGCGGGCTGCTTTTGGACACACCGGGCGTTCGCATTTCACGAATATAAGTGCGTATCAATTATTGACGAGGCTTAATTTAAGCGAGGACCCTTTGGCGGGGGTGGGCGGAAAAACAGTGCATGTGTGTGAGAGAGAGAGAATGTTTGGGGGGAGGGGTGGCAGCAGCGCGGAGGCAGTAGTTTTATTGGGGCTCGTAAATTTCGGCCCTTCTGCTTTTATGAGACGCGAAACGTGTGTGCGCAATTTAATACCCTTCAGTTCACTTTCTAAAATAAAAGAAGAAGTAAAGAGAGAGGGGGAAAAAGAGTGAAGAGAAACAAACTATGTAATTTGGCTGATGATGGTGGGAATGAGTGAGAAAGAGATGGAAGAAATGCGTTGCAATTCAGTCGAAGAACTCAAGAAAAAGAGAGGAATAATGAATAAGTGAAACAGCGTCTCCGCAGCGTTTAAATAAATTTTTAAAATCTAATTTTTTTACTTGTCCTCTTTAGGCCACAGCGAATCATAAACCAAGAAAAAAAGACGAAAATTGCAATTATTCAATAGCGTGTCTTT